CCCCCCATTATAAAAGTGTAGCACATCAGAATCAATGACATTCATCAACCTTGTATAGTTGGTTGACTTTCTTACATTTTCACGGTGCCATTTGATTATTCAAAGCTATGCAGATGGCAAATGGCTTGGAAAACAAGCTGTGAGAGAAATGAAAAACCTGGCTATTCAATCTAAATTAAAATCAGTCATTTTTTGAAGTCACTTACCAGAATGTGTCCTTAAGTGGCCAGTGAGTGCATCTCTTCTTTGACAGGCGTAGCTACAAAGGTGGCATTTGAATGGTTTTTCTCCAGTGTGAAGTTTAACATGGCGAAGAAGGTTGCCTTTCTGAGTAAAGGAGGCCCCACACTGGTTACAATGGAAAGGTCGTTCACCTTAAAAAGAACATGTATAAGGAGAAAGAAAGGGCATTTGCTATTAACAGAACTATACAGACTCTACATACACACACACCACAATTTTTTGCTCATTCCCCTGTTCCAAAATTAGAATGAATGGCATACTTTATCAGTCAAGTTTACATTTAGACTGCTGAGCAGCAATAACTGCCTTATTTCCAGAGCAACACATTCCCTGTACTTCTGTGCAAAAGGCCCTACTCTTCTGGAACTGGAACCATGCCATTCCACACCAACATCTTGTGTCCTGCCAGATTTTATAGGAATGGTAACTTTTACCAGACCAAATGCTTTCCACACGGACCTTGGGCTTGCAGTGCCCTGAAAGTAATTACCTGTATGGCTGCGTTTGTGAACCATCAAAACGTTGAGGCTGACGCAGCCCAGTCCACAAGTGTCACAGTTCAGCTTTCCACCAGGAGGTCTGATGAGGTCATATGGCCCTGAATGCTTCTCTAGCTCCATGCTGTCATATTCACCATATTCCTGTCGGCAGCTGTAGAGGATGGCAGGTTCTCTTTGTCGCATTTCCATTGGCTCCGAATTCAAAACGCCATCTTCCTTTTCAGTGTGTTCACCTTTGACTTTAAGTGAACCATCTTCTGAAGCTGGGGACAAAGTGGGAGGAAAAGACGTGTCTCAAAAGTGAGGAAATAATTCAATGGCAGGACTCCAAATGAATATTCCTTCACCTTTATCAGGCAACACTTAAAATAATGCTAAACACTAACTCTCAATTTTCCCCTTTGCTTCTCCCATATCTTAC